ATATGGACTGGGTGAACCCCTGCGGTAATCACACACATGACTAGAGGCCAGTGCGCGGTTTCAGAAAGTCACTAGGGTCACCTAGGGTATGACAGCACTCTGGATGTTTCCGAGGGCGTTTGATCGTATGAAGTAGAAAGTATTCCGTGGGCCGCTTGTGGCGTACGTTTGACCTGATCTGCAATATGAGTTCGCCAAGTTTGGTAAGAGATAAAATAGTATTAAAGCTTTGAACCGGTTTGGTACGCGGGTACTGAGGTTCTAACCATAATAAGCGAGTGGATATATTCGGTTAGTTCTCGCGGTACCATAGGATGTCAGAAGTGATCTGACTCTGGTTTGCCGTATCCTTACAGTCAGACTGGAAGCGTATCTAACCGGGACATACTTAACTCATTTAGTTTCAAGAATTTTGAGCAGGAGCTAGATTACTTTGATCAATACGTAAATATTTATGGTTTTTTCGAGTCCAAGCCTTTCCTTAACTTTGTTCTTCACTTAAATTCAACGAGATTTTTCACTCTACCAGCGTGTAACTAATCAATAGGCGATATATGCACTGTTTCTTGCATTTATATTTGAGTCCATTTGAAAAGTACTGGTTAATGCTGGTCGATCATAATCGGATACGGATGGTGCTAACGGTGAACAGTTTGCAGACCAAATACGATATGTTTGCTATGAGACGCAGCCCTCCTGTTGTGCACTGATACTAACTGGTTCAAAACATCCGTTTGTTTTCCTCCGGTACCGGGAAGTCATTTAAGAGCTCGATCCCCTCGAGCGGTGAATAAGGACAAAATTATCCACTGCTCTTAAAAAGATGCGAATTCCGCGGAGTGTCATAAAAGCAACAGGTTCTCACCCATGTAAACACACGGCATGGAGTCAAGATTTTCGCTCACTAGTTTACCTTCACATATATATCCGACATTTGTTCACCGGTGATAGATGTTTCCTGCAATATCACATCTTCCGTATTCCAAACCACCACACGCAATTCATATTCGTTTGGCTGACGAGGTGATACATCGACCGGTGGACCAGGTTCGCCCAGTTTTGTGGGAAATAGATCGATCCACATTTGTACTTTTCCCTGAGAAGTAGGGATAGTATTAGGAAAGACCAAAGTTTCTTTCAAATCATATCACGAAACGCTTTATTCACCCGAAGGGTGAATTTTCAGTAATTGACGAACTTGTAGAGTGGATAGATTCAAAGGATGATCAAAAGGAACAACTGAAAATAAATTCGATGCCATAGAAAGGGATAATGATGCATGGATCTTTTCTTAAGGTGGGTGTCTTACGATTAACCAAAATTCGATTCAGGTTTGGGATTACACGGTTTCTGTATGGGGAGGAGGCGCAAACCAGATCTGGTATTTGGAGCGACTTCGATGTTTCTAAGGATGCATGCAATCACGAATTTACGAATAAGATTTTGTGGAACGGCCAGTTTCCTTAACATTTCTGTATAAAAGCACTGTGATCAAACTGTTTTAAAAATGAAGATGACATGAGCAGATTAGGGTAAATCATGGGTCAGAATAACAGACATTAAGGTATCTAGCAAAACCGCATTGGACTGTTAACTGTAACATCAGGACGATTACTTACCAGTACAATATGGCGGATACCTGTTTCAAGACTAATGAAAAAATCAGTGCACTTGTCGATGTTAACTAAAAGAGATCGCTGCCCGGACTATTTGTGAAGTTCATTTGTAGACCGAAAATTGTCTGGACAAATGCCTACAGAGTACACTCGAAGATTGAATATCGTGCTTAGTGAGATCGTTTAAGTGACAACCAGCAAGATGATTGGATGATTCGATCAACTAAAACCATGATCTAACCAAGGTTAAACTGAATTAACCAGCTGGTAATAAGGAAATCAGTGCCCTCGAACATCTAATCTATGCAGCACTCAACTCGATTAACCCTTGGTGGTCAAGTGAGGCATTTAATGAGCTGAAATTCCGTCAGAAACATAACGTTTCCATTTACATGGGTTCTCAGGAAGTACTGATCGTCTTCACCCCATTTGGTTGATGAAACTTCTTTTGATACGTTGGGAGAACAGAAACATTTGGACCAGTAGATTCATCATTTTCAGATTCTAAAGTAAATAAGTTTGGTTTTCTGTTCCTGGGTTCCTCTCTCGTTTTTATTTACTGTCGATTGAACAGTGCCAGAATAAGTTCGACTCGCATGCCGAGAAATCCGAAAGCAGGTACTATGCGACGATCAAACGGCTTCAATCCAGTCAACACCTTAATCCACTTCTATGTTGGTAGATTCTAGATTAGTTTCTTTAGCATCACTCCCATTCAGGTAGTGCTAGACGGTTTTATTTTTTCTCAACACAATACCCGCGGTCTTACCTGATTCTCTATGATCAGTTCCAGACACCTGGAATGCAACAACCGAGCATTAGATCTGCGTACTGAGTTGCCTAATGTTTGTTGACAGTCCNCAGTCCTCAAAGTAAGGATGTGATATGTTGAACGCGATAAAGGATGCCATTTAGTATTACAGAAGCATATTTTGTATGGGATAAAATCTCACCTGTTCAATATTTGGCTGGAGCGGACTGAACAACATGCGTGTTTCCACGTGTTCTTTCACGAGCGGTAGGTGATTCAATATGTGCAGAGATAACCGTTCCTTAGCCGGTCCCAAATGTGGATTCGGAATCGTGCCTCGTTCGAATTGATCAAGAGCGAAATTCTTCTGTCCAACTCGACATGTGGGACAGTTGTGCGAGGCACCGGTCTCTTCGTATTGCGGTGGTGGCAGACTGTAGTAGTCACAAACATCTGCCAGAATCTCCGACGGGGTTTTCGAGTCACGCCACTGATTCGGTCCCGAAACACAATAGGTCTGTGGTAGACCACATGTAGCCCGATATTTCGTCAGGCGACGATTTTCCAAATCTACATAAGTCTCACCAATAATGTCGTCGGTACCGAGCAGATCGTAATCCTTAATTCGGATGTGCAAATCTTTCTCAATTGGTAAGTGGCATTTGAGTTGGAACATTCTGTACATCAAAAATGAAATAAGAAATGAAAAAAGGTTTTCCCTTTCAAAGTGATCGAAGTGGACGGTGATGATGTAGTTGGTATAGTTCCAATCAAAAGCAGTTTCGGTCTGTAGACTGCATCGCAAAAAGTAGTTCAGTTTAGTTAAAAAGATTGTCAAATGAATGAGTGGCGGTGGTGGTGATGAGGATGTTTAGTGATTATAATTGTCACACACTAGGGTCCAAGATATTATGTTGAAGCCGGACTACCGTCATCAAACTCTGGTGTTAAGTAGCTTCTTCCCTGCCTGGTTTCATTACATGCCAATCCCACCAGGGCTTTAAGAAGTATGGAATTCACGTCTGAAGTTGTTCACCTCGATAAATAATGATGACGCGTTATGCTGGATCTGGTGGGGTGGTGAAAGATTAATGCTTTATGAGACTTCATCTGATTTCCACTTTTTATCAGCAACCGCACCACACTCAGCTGGTGATTTTCGGTCATTATTTTGTAAATCAAAGTGTTTCAATCTGTGTTGGACATTCTGGTTTATTGTGCGTCCATCGCTTGAGCTAAACTGAGTAATGTTCACTTTGTTTGGATATATGTTTGACCGACAACACGAGTGCCTTGGCATAGTGAACGTGAGAATTTCTTTCGGTTTATGAATTACGCTATATTTATGTTTCCTAAACACAGTGCAGGTTGTAAGCACGTCTTTGTCCTCACTGTGGGCATCAAACAGTTGCAGGTGGTTTACTCACAACCAGTTATCATCTTTGTCTGTGGCAGACAATTTACCTCCAGGTTACCAACTTTTCTAATTAGAACCGTTGGGTGAAATTTTACGAAATTCTACTTTTCAGTGTCAATCAAAATGTAAAAGTAAGCAGTCTTTGTGTGGGTATGGTTTAATTAGCCATACGATTCACCTTGGAATGGAATTCGGTTTATGCAAGCGAGTATATTATTCACCAATCCAACTGAGTTCTCAGTTAACCTGCCAGTCGTTATTCGAATTTCAGTATCACCTTTTTATGGTACCTACCATCCGGCTCCAGCCTGGAAAAGCTAGATGCCAACATTAGTAGATCATAAAGAATCAACATGAATCTTGACTTGACACACTCCACACTGATTAGTTCGTTCTCCGTACAGTGAAACACATGCTACCATGCAAGGAAATGGGTACATGTTAGTCTAATCAAGATGTGTACTTGTTCGGTGCTACTTCGTTCGACATACACATACGGATCTCTGGACACTGAAGTAATGTTCATATGGTTTAAGATTTATGAACAACCTGAAACCAAATTTCGCCTACACGAATATTGCTGTAGAGCTGAATTGTGTTTTGGACAGTGTTTCTAACTTTTCACAGTCACGAGAACCAACAGTTTAGGATTGATGATGTTCTGTAATCTACGTAATTTGTCATGCATGGGATAGAAGTAATCATGGAGGTGAGGCTTACGTGCATCATGGTCATTTGAATTGACTGCAGTCACTGGTCTCTTGAGAAAAGCGGTCCCGATGAGACGTGAACTAACCATAAGTATATGTTAGCGTTTTGACAAACGTTAGTTATGGGAAGCGGCAATCAGGATTGAATAGGATATAATGACCTACTGGCAGTGTTACTCCAGTTACATTTAGAACGTTTCTTTTGGGGTTATTTCATTTGTTGTCCCTATTGATTTATCTTTGTCATAGGCACTTTTGAGCACAATCGTTGTCACACAAAGCTCATATTTCTCCAAACGTGGATTGAGAAAACAGCATTTGAAAGATAATTTGTTTGTTAACAGATAGAATCGCGCAACTTTCACTCACAGTCCAAACTCGGGGTTCAATGTGTTCGGTACGTATTTGTCCTTGGAACTCATCTTCTTGTCGCCCAATTTGATTTCCACATATGGATCGGCCTGTTCGGAGCGCATGTGCGTATGTGCGTGAGCGAACGCGCAGAAGGGGGAATGGAAAGAGTCAGACAGATAATTGGAATAGTTTATCACTCGCAACTTATAGATGAAAATGAAAAGCATATGACTGAAATGTATACAATCTATATTGATTTTGTTCGTGCTCATTTTCACAGATTCACAGCAAACCCACTGGCTTGGTTCTACCCTTTATTCACACTGCATTTTGTGTTATCTCCTATACTCGGAGCAGACAACAGGTAGAAGTGAAACAATGAATCACTCATTGGTGTTCACAACTCACTCCAAACCCTATCACTCATTTTGTCCATGCGGAATGGCTCAGTCATGTATTGGCACTTGCATTCCACAAACTAACGAAGCCGAAGTGAATCGCGGAAAAGATATCCATCTACTACAGTTAGGAATAAATGCTCTTTAACCATGGTTATAGATGTGCAAGTTTTATAGAAGAAACTGAAATGTTTTTTCTATATTGAGGATCATGTATGATTTTGATCAATGCCTATATATATGTATATATATGTTTATGTATATATGTATATATAAAACATTGAATTATAGCATTGATTTTTCAATGGACTGACTCTTAAATATCTGTCTATCCAATAGTCACCCGCTGTTGCAAATAAGGTTATTGTGACGAAAATACACCTCCTGGGTACATGTATGTGAATAAACTGATAAAAGATTACCGAATGCGCATGCCTGACGAGCGGCAAGAACCGCAAAACCGGTCGGGTGCTTCCAGAGAAATTTTTCTAGTCATTCATATACTGCTTATTATGAAATATGTATAAGTAGTGCCCCTGCCGGAGAACTGCAGGCACTCAACTTAAAAGTCTACATCCTTACCTTGAGCTACTTTGTCAACCATCAATTGTTTGAGCAACTCGGTATGCGTNATGCGTTGAACTCGACATCACTGCCATGTGAGGAAATAACGAACTCAGAAAAACAATGCATAAAACGCGATGCGCATTCAGACACATGCACGATACAAAACATTTTGAATTCGACAAAACTTGCAATTGGCTTTGTCATTTAAACGGAACTAGCAACTCGCAACTTCCACCACTCTGTTGTAGAATCTCGTTCTCCATCACACTCACCAAACCGGATGTGTCCGAAGGCTGAATTTCAATCGCTCGAATGATATAGATTCGGACAATACATTCGTCCACTTCCGGGGAGACCATCAGTTTTTCAAAATATGGAATTGGCAAAGGTTCATTCGGATCAGCCGGCAACGGATATATCCGGAAAGTGCCTTTGAATTCTCCGGCATAATTGTCCTCATCCTCGTCAACATTTTTCCCCTTAGAAAGCGTGAATGTATTGCAAAAATCATTGAATCCTTCGAATTGTTTCACCTCTTCCAGTGGACAATTATACACCTGTGAATATGCGGGTAAAACATACGGAAGAGAAGTGAGTTGGAGAATGTTTATGACTTAAGTTTGCCATCCAAACGGCTTCATTTTTAGCGGCTCATGTGAAACTTGCTCCTGTGATTATACATCCCATACACGCCTGTCTAACATGTTTGGTTGGACTGTTTTGAGTCAGTCACGTGCTCATCTTTGTGGTAATCATGAAGAAGTAATTCTGATCGAATGCACACCATGGTTCCAGGGGTTACCTTTGGTATTGGTCGACAAGAGCAGACGGAAAACCTGGGTTTGTGTTTTTGCACAAGCGATGGAACGTTCTCACATCGTGATGACCGCTGTTTTACACCTTCTGATTTGGTCCCAACGGAACTGACCTGCATCCCGATTACAGCAAAGTCTGCATCAAAGTTTGCAACTGTTCTCATCCGAAATGACGTTGGAAAATTTGTGAATTTTAGGAAATTCTTTGATTGTTAGTCGTGTTACGTGGGAGTAACACACAACTCCACAACGTAAGAAACTAGGTAAGCATATGAGATATTGTTAACCTCACACTTTTGAAACTGAACTTGAATCTACCAATCGCACTCGATCCTACATAGTGGTTGGTGTTTTGACTATCACGCTTGACCTATTGAATGGGGTCTATCACAACTCCAGTTCTTTCGGGGAGAAATAACTTCCACCCAAGCAAACGAAAGTACTTGAGATGGATGAGTGACCGTGGACGGACACAAACAGAAGCTTTTGTAAATTGGCCTTCGAACAGGTGACCCTTCATTGCCTATCACTTCAGCTACTAACTGAAAAATCAAAGCTGATCAAAAAAACAATTCAAACCTATGCCAAAAAGCCATAGATTCTGATACACGATTAAAGCAAAGTCGATGGATGTCTTTGGTTCCTGTTACTTTATTGAACGTTTGCAAAATCATTCCTCTGGACCCAAAATATTTCAGTACACTGAATTTACTTAAACTCCAGCTTATCAAAAGCCTGGAGAACGATCACAAAACCGAATTGAGGATGGGGTGGAATGGGAAAATGGGAAGAAACGAAGAAGCCCATGATCATGAATAAAAGTCATAAACTTCTCTGCAGGATCAGGAAAGGGGTCTGTGGAGAGTAGGTGTGAAATACTAAAGGGGCACAATGGTATGTTGATCCACATTAAGCAGTGTCTCCTGGAACAGTAAGTAGAAATAATAGGGTACATTCCAAGTAGGCATTGTCGTCATCAGAAACTTTGACCTAAGTGGGCAAGTTTTATTGGTCGATACCAGTCTTAATTCTTAATTGGAGAGAAATAACTTGCGTCAAAAGGCATAAGGCCTCTGGACCGGAAGGGCTTTCATCGCCCACATTTGAGATTTGGAGATAGCGAATAAATTCCGGAATACCTGTGCAGATTAGTTGCATTGTTTATTTATACGAAAAGGGTTAGATCGTTTTGTGAGAATCTAACTTGATTCACCCTACATCGATGCATTTTTCTAGCATTATGCTATTTGATTATCTACCTCGCTCTAACGACGCATACATGAGAACCAGGCTAGTTTTAGACTGGCTCGAGAACGCATCAAACATATTTTCAGCCTTCGCCAAATTCTTGAACACAGATATCACTTCCTTGGACTGACCAACTCTCTCCCCTAATGTAAGTTTAGCCTTCGACTCAGCAAACTAGCGCTGTCTGTCCTTGAGTATTATGCTGGAGAAGCTTTTGAAACCTGAGAACGAACGGATTAAACTTAGTTCAAGCTTACAGCTCCCGATCTCCTGAGTTCCCCGCCGAGGGCGCTGTTTGCCAAGACTGGTCTCTTATTATTATTCTATCTTCGATTTCTTAATGATCCCGGTTCTTGAAATCGCCGTGCGCACGGGAGAGATTAGTGTTCATCGGTTTGCATCGATTTTCCACTCCACTTAGAAAAGCAGCTCCTGCAGCTGCACCGCAACAGCTACATCCGAAAAAAGGACAGGGATATCGTCTGCTGCATCGCCCTCACGGACAGACTCTACTCCCTCGTCCACGACAGCCAGGCACGGTGCGTGTAACATGTCACGGACAGTTGAGAGGTGCCGCCGCCATTCGCAGGAACCTATGCAGCAGAGGAAGCTCCCTCCGAGATCTCAGTGCTTTATTTTTGTCAATCTTCTGGAGGGCGAGGCCACCACTGCCCAGGCTCGCCTGGACCACGACCTGCAGCTGCTGA